AAACTTCTCTTTTTCCAACATGTTGGTCCAGGTACAACCATGCATGCATAATAAATTACCTTTAATCGTAATATAATCTGATACTTTAAAGACCATCTTCCATAAAACTTATCATTTGACAGACTTCATGATAAGACAAAAGCATATGCCATCCAACTCTTGCACGGCATCAGTGTCAAACACCCATTCAATCTCATCTATACCTATTTGTTCTCTTATCTGACCAACATTTAATTTGCACACAAATTGTTGTTTAACCAGATAAAAGTCCCAAAGCTTGAGATATAGTTTGCATCTCATCTATCTTATATCAAGATAATTCACCATCAAAAGATAATATCATGATTAAAACCGCAATATATCCTTCAATAATAATTATCTTAACTATTCTACCATCTAACGGCTGAAAGCTATGTTCATCAACAGCCTTGATTGCACGAGCCGATAGTGTAAAATCGGGTCCCAACATTGCCCCCCAATTTCCTTGAGCTTTGACGCGTAAGCCCAATGGTTAAGTAAATTTGTGAAGTCAAAGAAATATATGGTCAAGGAATCCACTCCATAGCCTGACATGTCTTGAAAGAGACCTCGACGAGCTGGCCGAGAAAAACCAAATAGGGTCGAAGTCTCCAAGACTCTAGCCCACTACTGCTCATGGTACTCGGGATATATATATATATATATACACACACACATGTATATATATAGGTAGCCTTGTGTGTGTGTGTGTGTCTAAGTAGCCTGATTGCCTATGATCTGTCTGCTATGCTTCTGTGCCTAGCACACACACATATATAAAATGAGTTTGTGCTGAGCATCAGCTTGCCAAGCTCGGCATGTGTGATATATATTATAGGTAGAGCACGGGATTGCTAAGCACCATATAACGAGAGGCCTATCTTGAATATCAATGAATGATTCGATGTCGCACGGGATGTTCATTGGCCCTCTTTATCTTCTTAAGCATCGGTCTGCAAGGTCGAGCTCAGCAACATATATTGGGTAGCTCGGCCTATAGTCAGTTATCAACCATATATTTCAAGGCTGAGATTATTGAACAGGAAGTACACCTCAACGACAAATTCCATCGAATGAGTCACAATAATATCACCATATTTACTCCATGCACTGCCTTTCATCGAATATACATAACTTTTTCCTTATTTTGTCTTGTAATTCAGTGAAAACCAATCACCATCAAATCTCTCTGCCTATTTGTCCCAACTTTTGTCAAGGTAGAAAATCTAAGTGGGAGAATTCGCCACTTGTCCCTTCCATGCACATGCATACATGTATGCATTCTATTTAATGAAGAGAAAAATGGCAGCTCGGCCTATCACCAATCAAAGTCATCAATTGGAGCAAATAATGGTCACCGACGACTAATAATGTTGCCTCCTTATTTTCTTATGCATCAGCTTGCATAGCCGTATGTTTAAGAAAATATATATTTTAGCAAAAGAAAATGAAAACAGCCGAATCATAATTAGGAGGAGGCCAACGATGCTTTATTCCAAGCTGAGATATTTTTACATCACAATTTTCACTTTGAGATTTTCCAAAGTCGAATAAAAGATCGATGTCCAAATAAATCGGCCGCCGAATATGTTGAACAATTATTATGCCCCTCAGGCATAATAACTTCGCCAATTTTGGCTTTTAACTCGGACAACTTAGGTGAACGGGTTTCTCCATATCGGCTTTATCACCAATAATCATATCGATTGGTGTGGTTTTTCCGACTAAGCCTATGTCTCCGATGACCATATCAATTGATGTGTTTTTTTCATCTAAAGCTGTGTATCGGTCCTGTTCGTCATTGGAACACTCCTTTGACGAATCATTTTTTGAGTCGATTTTTGGCTTAAAAACTTGAACTTTTTCTTCTAGGCCTACCACACTTTCAGTCTCGACCGAGATAACAGGTGGCCTAGGTTCTTCTTCGGCCGTCTCGACAATCTTCTTAGGCCGAATGTTGGTTGTGGCTGGAGCTAAAAATTGCCCCTCGGCCTTCTGATCCAACAATTCTTCAAATGGAATTGATTTGAAACCAAATGACCTTTTTTTATCGAGCCACTCATAAAATTGAGCTTTATCTTCATTTAACCATTGATCTTGTAAGCTGTGATGAACCTTCACCTTTATCATTTGAGAGAAAGATTTTTGCCTTTCTTCATGTGCTTCAAGGATCTGGTCAATGAGTTTTTGTTGCTTGACAATTTCCTTGAATAGGCACCGAATCTCATCTTGATATATCATGTGAACTTCGTAGTTTTAGCACTTCATCCTACTAGGCGTGCCAAAATGTTAACCCTAAAAACTATCAAGCCTACGTAGCACGCAGGCCGAGTAATTAATAAGCTAACTATGTCATTCAATTGTATGCAGGCATGCCCAACTCGTCCGTCGAGGAGTAAAATGTGTAGATGTTACGTTGAGCGCGTTGCTGACTTCTTGATCTTGCGACTGCGGCCGAGGAATGAACACGCCTCAACCTTCGGGTTCTAGAACCTGAAGACAAGGCTGCTAGTTCTGCGAAATTTAATATCAAATTTGGCTTTCAATGTGCCGAATGTAATAACCTGTAACACCTCACTTCACCGAGATGACTAATGAGACGACATCTGCCAATAAGGATTCGAAAATCCTTCTCGACCGAGACTTGGATAGATAACCAGTCGACGCAGTGTTGTTTATCCAAACTGAAGGTGCTCCGGGAACGGCTGATTCTACGGCAACAGTGTTGTTTATCCAAACTGAAGATGTCACCGGTTGCCTTCACAGTGATGTTTATCTAAACTGAAGGTGTGTTGGCGGAAAAAGAAAATAAAAAAATCTCAAGATATTTGAGAGGTTTGGGTAGGGCAATTTGTGTGTTGAATTGGAAGGGGCTTTAATGTTGTCTGCGACTCTGTATTTATAGTGGCTGTATTTTGCTTAGCACAACCTAATAACTTTGTAGAGTCCAATCGCCTCTCTAACTTTGTAGAATATCACCTGCTACGTTGACTCTGAACCATTAGATTGTGTGGAACCGCCTTAACCATCCAATATCCCCCAATTTTCCTTGAAAAGATAAAGATATTTTTTTTCACATGCATGGCCTAACTAAACGAATGCGTCTTATTCCAACTAAAACTTCTCTTTTTCCACCATGTTGGTCCAGGTACAACCATGCATGCATAATAAATTACCTTGAATCGCAATATAATCTGATACTTTAAAGACCATCTCCCATCAAACTTATCATGTGATAGACTTCATGATAAGACAAAAGCATATGCCATCCAACTCTTGCATGGCATCAGTCAAACACCCATTCAATCTCATATGTACCTCTTTGTTCTCTTATCTTACCAACATTTAATTTGCACGCAAATTGTTGTTTAACCAGATAAGAGTCCCAATGCTTGAGATATAGTTTGCATCTCATTTATCTTGTACAAGATAATTCACCATCAAAAGATAATATCATGACTAAAACCACAATATATCCTTCAATAATAATTATCTTAACAATTCTGACATCCAACGGTTAAGAGCTATGTTCATCAATGGCCTTGATTGCACGAGCCGATAGTGTAAAATCGGGTCCAAACACCAATGTAAGCCTCAAAAGTGCTCGGATACACTCCTGAGCCTTGTGAAAGATTTACAATACTATTATATTTTGGAAGTTGAAAATTCATAAAAGAAAAACTTATGGGCACAATAAATCGTAAGATTGCTTTCAAAAGGTTTATAAAGTTTTATGTAATGCTCATGCAAAAGATCTTGCGAAACTCAAAATTTTCATTTTTTATGAAAATTGTGAGTTATAAGTCACGCTTTTTGATCAATTTGCCAATTTCTATAAAAACCATTGAAAACACAATTTCGTGCAATTTCACCGCACTCTAAACTTTTTAAGTTATATTGGATGTTCCGGAGATATTCCAAACGTTGGTAATCGTAAGACAGGTTACAAAATGCTTGCAAAATTGTACTGAATGTGCACGCAAAGATCTTGTGAAACTCAAAATTTTCAAGTTTTACAAAAATCGTGAGTTGTGTAAGTCACATTATTTGATCAATTTTGCCAATTTCAATAAAAATCATTGAAACCTTGAGCTCGTGCAATTTTGGCACACCCTTAAGTTTTTTGTACTGGACGTTCCAGAGATGTTCTGAACGTTTGTAGTCATTGTCGTGCCTTGCTAGTATTTTCAATTAGTATTATATTTTGGATCTTGAAAATTCCATAAAAAATACTTAGGGGGTTAATAAATCATAAGATCGTTTTCAAAAGGCTTCTAAAGTTTTACTTAATGTGCATGCAAAAGATCTTGTGAAACTCAAATTTTCATTTTTTACAAATATCGTGAGTTATAAGTCACGGATTTTGATCGTTTTTTCCTATTTTTATACAAATTGTCGAAACCCCGATTTTGTGCATTTTTGCCACACCCTAGGCTTCTTACAGTTTATATTGAATGTTCAAGAGATATTCTGAGCGTTTGCAATCATTGTTGTGCCTTGCTACTTGCTAGTGTTTTTTAATTTAGTTTATTTTTTGTAACTTGAAAAATTCATAAAAAAATACTTACAGGGCTTAATAAATTGTAAGACTTAATGCACATGCAAAAAATCTTGCGAACCTCAAAAATTTTCATTTTGACGAAAATCGTGAGTTATAAGTCATGGGTTTTTATTTTATTTTTATTTTTATTAATAATCAATTTTCCCAATTTCTATAAAAACCGTTGACAACCCGATTTCGTCCAATCGAACCACGCTGGTATTTTCATTGGTCTTGGCATTCACCAGCATGCGTCATAGATGACTTTATAATGACCCATCAATCAAGGTGCAGCTTCGAAAGTCGTTTGTTTAATGGACTTGATTATAACAATATTCATGGGAATTAATTAATTCCAAATAACCAGAGACCTCGTCAACCTAATATTTTATAGGATTAGGTAATTAATGCTGAACAGCTGAATAACACCTGTTGTCTAATGATCTGTTCAAAGTACTTCTCACTTGATGCATGTGTCTTGCCGCAAATCTTCTACGCGCGATATCTGCATTTTGTAAAATCTCTGAAAAACTACTGCCATGTAATTCCAAATTAGCAACTTAATCCTATTTATATGTGGCTTTAATAATAGCTTTAGTATTTTGATTACTCTTAATTAACATGCAATGCATGCTTCAGCAATAGAAATTCAATTTATTATATATATATATATATATATATATTATAAGTATTGACTCATGCGGATATCATTATTTGAATCAGGACAAACCGACGCCCGTGGGTGAATGCAGCTCAACGTGGATCAAACATTCCGAGCAAAAGAGGCAAACCAAAGTCAGCAGTAACCAATCCTTTCAATTATTGAGAGAGAGAGAGAGAGATGAATGGGACCCCAACTTTCCCACCGCCCGACCATTACAAGCTGTGACTGCGGTGCACTCGTGCGCTTGGTTGGTTCTGATGAACCTTATAATTTCATATCTTGGCAGAACATGTACGGCTTAAAACGTGTACGAGTTTTTCGTGCTGACTTGATTTCTTTTTAATAAGTGTAATGAGATTAAGCATTGGGCATCCAGATCACATGACCATTCGACCAGACAATTTAAGCTACACTCCAATCTCTCGTTGTAACTTGATTTCATCATTTTGTGTATGTTGCCCTATATAGACGTCCGAACATAGGATTTTATCATTTGTGAGACTAAAAACATTTCATTACATTTTGATAACCACGTCATGTAGCAGGCAAATATTCACTTATTACATCTATTATAATAACCCTTTAGCAATTGGAGCACTATTTGATTAATTGTCTAAACATTTCTGGAAATACCGTACAAGGACATTGTCTTCCAGCCAGGGTGTAAGAGGACAAGAAGGTCTTTCTACGCGGCCCATCCGTTTTGTGGTATGCACCACGACCCATTTTTCACCCAACAGTTTAAGAGGCCCAATTAATATTCTGTTTGTACTTGGGCCCAAACATCCGGCAAACTGAACCTCACTTTATTAGGCCCAATAATATTTTTTTAAATGGGCCGCAGGGAGGAGTCTTTTCGTACTGAAATTTATAGCAATCGAGCTGTTCTCTTATATCTTGGTCAAATAAGAGGATCTTCAACGGTTTCTCTAAATGTGACTCTTTAAGTAGAATTTTTTTATTAATTCACAAACAAATCTTAGTATTTTAGTAGCATTTCATCTTTGGAAAATTTTGACAAGAGACAAATTCTTGACCAAGAAAACAAGTCACTAATTCTAAACTCCAAAAAATGAATGAGAAAACAAGTCTCAATTACAGAAGGGAAAAATTGGAAAAACTCGAACCTCTCCTCTTATCCGGGAATCCAACTTACACAAACTGCTGTCCACCTGGAGTCCGCTACTATGCTGACTCTAAAATGCCAACTGCAGCGGCAATCAAAGCGAAAAATAACTTCTGCTTCCATTTTTGCCATTCGGGGCGGGCGCCCGCCCAAATATAGCACAACAATTTCATCACAAGCACAAGCTCGTCCTACTTGTGACCATACCCAGCCTGGGGTGGAGGTGGCCTCCTATTTCCTCTTCTGTCCAATCCAGAGTATTGGTTTCTGGATTGTTGAGGGCGGCTTTGACCTCTGCCCGGGTTATGGCTGACCGGTGGAACCCGGCCATCAATACCATTATGGCTAGGCGTTCCAGATGGTTGGTAACTCTGATAGTTGTTATAGCCACCTGGATAAGGAGCAGCACTGACCCCCGCTGGAGTTTGTAGAATTGGTCTTTCGGGGTAGATTGGCCCATCGTTCTGGTGATTTCCTGATTCGTAGTATACATGCCCAGAATTCCTTTCGTGGTGCTGGGTACGAGGCCTGTTCTGAAAGCGATGGCCAGCTGCCGAAGAATGCGGTACATTATACCCACGGTCACCGTGACTTGGGAATGTACTAATATTCGAAGCTCGGTGTTGATGTTGAGGATGGTGGATTGCACTAGGTGGTGGCATTCTATAGTGTCCCTGATCATAGCCTCCGTTATTTGCATAGGAAGGGTGTGCTGGATAATACTGAGGCTCGGCATAAGATGGTCGATGGGAATGCATCTGATTGCCATACCCATTAGCCTGTAAGCTATTAACAACAAGGCGATGTGCCGATTCCCCGAGCTGTCTTCCAGAAATAGCTCCTGGGTTCTGCCTGGAACTGAAAGCAAAATCTAATATTGTTAAAATACAATCAGAAGAAAAAAAATTATATTACGCTGAAGGACAAATGGCACTGCATATCTATCAAAAGCGATTTGTTAAAAGAAGGTCTACCTCGAATTTTCATATGGCTTCCGCCCAGAATCTTCATGCCAAGGCTTTCGCCCGGTGTCTTCATGCCATAAAGGAGGTAAAGGCTTCAAATCCCCCACTGTAACAGTCTGAAGATAACTTGACATCAATATAATGATAAGCATCAAACAGGGGTATAATCATTTTATTATTACTTAAAATTAGAGGCAATGGCCAAGTCGAGAAGTTCATAGGAACACATGCGAACACATAAAGCAACACTCGCAACGCATATGGATAACACCCATACAACAAAATCTTATTGAAAAAAGCTTAAGATCAATATGGACAATATACCTTCTTCGGGAATATAACACCTGCCGGTGGTTGAGTTATATGCTTATGTACATCCGGTAGTCTGTATATCGCACATCTGAACATCAAAGGGAGGGAATTGCAGTTCAGAGATGCATGATCACTTCTATGTATAGAATAAATCCGTTAATGAAGCCATTTTGTATTATTTAAGGGCACTTCTATTTGCATCCAATAAATTACTTAATACACACACATGGACAGATTACCCATCAACAAAATATTGTAATTCGTAATTCTTCTCTCTCTCTCACGTACAATGTATTTACAGCAAATGAATTTCAGTTAAAATACATACATTACTTGGTTGTCTACAATATCCTCCATACTTTCAACAGGAGACCGGAAAACCGGAGGGCAAGGCTCTCCAGTACATGGAGACAAATAACCGTTCATCCCTTCACTGCATGCATCCCTAAATAAAATCAGAAAATAGTCTCAAACAATTCTTAAATACATTGTCCATAAGAAAAAATCAGAACAAAAATATGGCTTTATACTCATGGAGCAAACATTACCATCCAGAAGTACCAAAAAATGCACACTTTCTAGAAAACCATAGAAAAATTAATTTTTGTAAAATGCCAAAATAGAGCATCATTCTCAAGAAAAATATATAAACTAAATCAATTAGCATATGCGGTGCCACCAAAATGGAACACTGGCCACATGATCTATGGTTCCCAACCAAAACAGGCTCAAATAGAAAATAGCAAAAAGGTATAACGTAAAATTCAAATTAGAAATCTGGTTGCTGCTCTAAAGCATAAAGTAAATGCACCGTGAACAAACCTGTACTTGGGATCAATCTGCTCCTTAACTTCAACTCGTTCTTTGTCTGTCAACTGCTTACATCGATTGTCCAGAGAATATATGCTTACAGATAGAGGATGAGACGATGTCACAAAAAGCATCTCAAACATCACACTATTTCTCCTTGTCTCCTCCTCCTACAATCCAAAAGCAAAAATTAAGTTAGAAAACAAAATAGAAAAACCAAAATCAGTAGTGAAAAGTAAATAAAAATAAATAAATACCGTACCGTCAATGTATGTTCGAGTTTTTCAACCTCACCTAGAAGGCGGACTTCATCAATAAAAGGCAACTTTGCAATACCCTTCAGAAAAGCAAAAAGATGTCAAACTCTACTCGATAGGTGTACAATATACATAGTAATCATCATGACCATGCGCAAAAGCATATAGTTATAATATGGATTAGAAAGAAACCTACCTGCCATGCATACCGCTTCCCATTCATATCCACTTCAAAGTCTGATAGCAAATAAAGGTTCAGAGAAGAATCTTAGTGAGCAAGCAACAAAAGGGAAATATTCAAACCACCAATATTAGTCAAGCAAACATACCAATAGGGTAAAAATCAATCAGAGGTGAATTTGGATCAGTCATCAACTTCCTGTACTGCTCAGGAAGAGCATGGGAGCTGCAAACAAATTATCATTAGTGCCTTACTTAATGGATAATTTACTAATAAAAGAAATAAATTACAAGCAAACCTTGCAGCAGGAAAAACTCCCAACAGCTGATTGAACGGTTTAAAAGGAGAGCCCAAATCAAAACTTATATTTAGCTGACCAAGGTCCTTCAGATCAGAAGCAAAGGGTGCATAGTGATAGGGGTAAAACCTGAAGAAAAAAAAAAAGGCATTCAATGGCGTGATTGACATATTTGACTAAGATCATTAATGCAGTTTTTTCAGAAAATGTTACAACAAGATCTCATCTATGTGGCATTATCCTGATATGCAATTGTGTTTTCATATGATATGCTAAAGGAAAAATTGGAAAATATTCATAATCCAACCCTGCTCCTTGTACAACACTGAAAAACCCCATCCAAATACAATTAATAATTCCAGTACAGAAGCAAAAGGAACGGGAAGGCCCTTCATGTAGTGAAGGAAGGTGGTTCAAAACTACTCACCACTGCCACGAGCAAACACCTTCATAATAATAGTGCATCACCCAACACAGACCTTCAGTGTATCGCAAAACCTACCCAAAAACACAAATATGAAAAAACTAACAATGGTTTATACAAATGAACATTTGAAATCACCAGCAATTATTACGTACAACATCTTTTCGAATTGCATCACGTTCTTCAGGAGTTTTTGCAGAAAACTTCTCTTCATAATACCTATCTTTCCATCCACGTTCTCCCAATTTAACCTAATAATATAAGACAAAAAGAATCACATTACCAATGCGACCAGCAACAAAATTCAGAAACAAAACTCCAAGCTTCTCAGCTATAGTATTGAGATGACAAATATAATAATGTAAACAGAGCTATGCAGCAAGAGCTATATGCATAAACTAGACAACAGTTTTATATTTAGTATTCAAAACTGCAAAAAAACAAAAGAGAACAATGTTGTGATAGGTCGCTTTCATTGGCAAATGGCAATGCATGATAATTGCAAATACTGATGTTACTATGGTTCCAAGATCCAAGCAGATAATCTAAATTATCAAATTTCAAAAAGGCTTTCAAATGCCTTACAAACATACGCCTTGCAGACATCGATATCAAAATATATGTACAGTTAGTAATTGAACCTTGTCTACATTGGGATTTCCAGAGTTAAAAGCATCAGATTTCTCACGAAGAATCTCCTTCAGCTTTGCTTTCATGTCTTCTTTGTTTCCATGTTCCTAGAAGAAAAAAAACAGTGACAGCTTAATGACCACATAGTTAATAATATATAACCAGCAGAACTCATTAAACACCTAACCCTGTTTGTAAAGCAATTATTACAAGATGGTACAATAAAGATTCAAAATTAGGTTAGCGTCAGTAATCAGCATGTAGAAAAGTAAATACAAAGAACAGACTAAAAATGTTTGACATTAAGGTATCTCCTGAGCTAAAAAACATACATCTAGTTCAAGACTGTCCTCAGCTTCAACAATAGCAGCACCGACAGTTGACATCTCTGAAGACAAACGTGCAACCTTTCGAGGATTTCCTTGATCACTAGATTTTCCAGATTGTTGATAGGGTGAAGCTGTATGACCTGAAGCAAGACGAGATCCCTGAAACCGAGAAACTGGAACCAATGAATCTGGTTGCA